GTGAGCCGCCCAGAGTCACCCATTGGGGGAGATGGGCGGCATACAAGTTTAATAATAAATATAAATAAATAAATAAATAAATATGTCTCAAAGTAGCTCCAGTCTTAAAAACTTAAACATTTATCAACATATAACATTGCTTCTTTGCTGTTTTAGTAACTATATTCATATGGTTGCCAACCACACATTACCTGAGCAGCTTATAGAATTTATAGTAAAAGATATGTTAATGCACAATAAAACAGTAAAACGTAATTTAAATACACTTCTTTCAGAATACCAAGGATATGACATAAAATGCTGCTGAAGTTTTAAAAAGAATTCACTAAACCCAAAATACCCTCAGTAGTCTTATGCACTAAGGGTTTTTTTCTTGAAATTAATGAATGAAGCTGAAGTTCAAACAAGTTTTCAAATGGTGCATGTGGTATTACAAGGTGGTTTTTTTCCTAATATAAGAGCAGGTCTGTGGATACACGTGTATGTGGGGTGGCAGGAAATTCCGTTTAGCTTTTCCTCCCAGCATTAATACTAATGACAAATTTGTCACACAGGTTGTTATTAGCTAGACAGAAGGGGAAAAGAAAGGGGGGAAAAGATTTTTTTTTTTTTTTTTTTTAAGATCACGGCCAGAAAGACTATCAACCCAGTTAAATCAACCCTCCCACGTGTGCAATTGAACTTTTAAACTTAACACTCTTTCTACTGATACACTGAACAATGTATTTAACAACATATACAATTATAGCCTTTCAGAGTGTTAAAATACTAATGACAAATTTGTCACACAGGTTGTTATTAGCTAGACAGAAGGGGAAAAGAAAGGGGGGAAAAGATTTTTTTTTTTTTTTTTTTAAGATCACGGCCAGAAAGACTATCAACCCAGTTAAATCAACCCTCCCACGTGTGCAATTGAACTTTTAAACTTAACACTCTTTCTACTGATGCACTGAACAATGTATTTAACAACATATACAATTATAGCCTTTCAGAGTGTTAAAAACTGCAATATTGCAAAGGCATTTTCTTGTCATACGCATTTGTAACCCACCATCATTTTTGGTCAGTAAAATTTTTAATGTTTCCATCAAGCTATCAAAGCTGAAACATTTCTAAAACCATACTAGTGCTACAGTAAGTGATTTGGTTGTGTTCATTTTACAGCAACTCATTATAAGCTATTAGGCTATGCTTAAAATAAACACCCATTCCCCTGTCCTGTGCCTTAACAGTATCCCTCTGAAACTGATTTAAAATAATATTAAATATTATTTTAATATTTTAATATTAAAGATTAAAGGACAGGTGCTCATCAATATATATTGTCAGGTAAGACCTAAGAGGATATTTATTGACATAAGAGGGGATAACACTGACTTCCACAGATGAAGCTAATAAACTGCTCTAGATAATTTCTAAATGGCTATACTTAGAGACTCTCTCTGGTCTATTCAAATTGTACTAATTTTGAGCTACCAATTTTTGCGTTGCTGCCCTAGTGCAGGGTTGATTTTGCCTGTATGTTGCTCCATTTTAGACAGACTGTCTGCTGTACCAAAGTGGTTCCCTTGAGATCAATTTAGTGAAAAACAAGATAGGAAAACAAAGGAAAGGAAGCACATTTACAGCAGAAACACCTGAAGGAACATTACAGATTTCAGTGTAGCGCTGTATTTCCAGAAGGAAAAGGTTTTCTGGCTGTGAAGAAATCTTCCAAAGCTAAAATGGTTTATTTCATGCACAAATATTACTTTCTAAAATGACAGGACAGTTTGTCAGCTTCTTCCTGCTTGTATGTCTCACGTAACTTTGTCCAAGGCTAAAATATCATACCATTGTTTATGTTCATTTTCATCAAAGGAGCTAATGATGTTTTTCTTAATTTAATAATAATTTTAAAAGGAATTGATTCCACACATGAGAACTGAAACTGAATCCCCACCTCATGAGCCCGATGATCTTAGAAGGTAGGTTCTCTGACCACCTCCAACTATCCTTCCTCTGCTCAGGTTGATCCCAGCCTTGTTGTGAGGGAGGAAGACAATCCCTTCTTCCAGGCAGAGGGAGAAAGGGAATGAATGCTCCCAGCCTTCACAGAAGAGCAGGCTGCCTCTCTCTCAGTGTGAAGGAAGAGGCGGGAAGCATTATCGGCGTTCTTCCCTGAGAACTGGAAAAAGGCACTGCCTTTTGCTCAGGCAGAAAAAAGTAGACAGTAATGGCTTCCTGTCTTTACCTGCACTGAAGAAAATGGGCATGATGAAAAAAAACATTAAGCAGATGGAAAGGTCGGATGTACTGCTTCTAGCCTATGGCCAGGCTCTTTTTTCTGAGAAGCAGAATAATTATGAACTTCCAACTTGATGTTGCAAATATTAAGACTATAAAAACAGCCTCCCAGATCAGACCAAAGGCTTATCTAGTCTAGCAGTCTGTTCTCACAGCAGCCAATCATAGGCCTGCAGGAAGCCACAATCAGGATAAGCCTATGAGCATCCTCCCGCTTACGTTCCCCAGAAATTGGAGTCATACTGCCAATGATACTGAAGGTAATAATAACCATTGTGACTAACAGCTGCTAATGCCATATACATTTGATAAGCTGTTGCACAGGAAACATAATGTCTTAGATATTTCATTTCAGTTGACAGTTTGCTATAATTTTAGGAAATTCAAATATTAAAATCATTTACTAAAATGTAAAAAGTAACTACATGAAAGTACAAGAAGGTAACCACAATTCAGAATTGCACAAATGACACTGCACAGACTTTGGGAGTGGCTACAAAAATGATGGCGACGACAGTCACAATCTCCAGAGTCTATGCCCTACAAAAATAAAACCGCGGGATGTTGGGCTGGCTACCAGCTTGGCTGGCTTCAAAAAAGATTGGATCAATTCATGGAAGTCATGGGGTTCAATGGCTATTAGTCTTGATGGCAGTGGGACTGCCTCTGAAGGTCATCTGCTGGGACCTTCCTTGTGCAGTTGGTTGAACCATTGTGAAAACAGACTGCTGGACTAAATGGGCCAGAGGTCCAATCCAGCAGGGCACTGCTCACGTTCTAGGTTAAATTTGATAGGTGGAGGGGGTGTCTACCATATCAAGACAGAAGCATTTATTTTGTGCAATTCATTTGAATGAATTCCCAGAGGTCTGGCTGGGAATTTGTTCCTTCCCTACAGACTACTAATTTAACCCACCTTCCACTCTATATTTCAAAGATGGTCTCTGGTGTAATAAACTATGGAAGAAAAATAGTATTAAAATATAATTTACTACCTCATAATCCTATTCTATTACATAAGACTGAAACAAATATAACGTACAAGGAACTTTCTCATGTCAATTTATCAAAACTCACCTCTCTGAGCTTTGTCAGTTTCTGCATTCGAACTGGCTGAACTTGTATCTGAAGGTCTTTGAACGGTGGAACCTTAGTTGGTATATTATCAGACTGATTACTCGTAGCACAGTTTTTAGTATCTTCAGATGGTCTGAAAGGTGCTTTTTCTATATCACATGGTTCTGCATGATCCCATGACATAGCTCGGAGCAGAGGAGAGCGATTACTAGATGTATGAAGTTCAGTTTTGCAAGAAACTTTGGAATCCTTCAGAAGTGGTGCTGAGCCCTTTAACTTTGTGCCCAGGGCAATTATTCCTGGCCCATGTAAATGACCTTTGAATGGAGAGTCATTTCCTTTATTTTTTTTAGGGAATTCTTTCCCTAATTCATTTTCACAGAAGTTCTTGCTGCTACTTAGAGATATTTTCCCAGTGTTAGAATCTGAAGTGCAGAATTGGGACAGATCATCCATGTGTTTATGTGGGTCAAAGTTCTCCTTTTGTTCAGACAGCTTCTCCTTTGGACTTTCCAAACCAGCTGTGTGAGGAACCACTCTTCCCTGAGAAGCTTTTCTCTGATCATTCTCCTTTCGATTAGATATTCCTTTTGTGGGATTCTGAAAGTAAACGAACAAACTTAAAATCATTAAATAAACTATTTCTCTTTTTCATAAAAATCTCATTTTGTAAAACCCTGGTTTTTTTAAAGGCACCAGCAACAATACTCTAGTGGTAAAAGCAATCTCTTCTATGTTTCTTACTTCAGCAAAACTCTTGTCTTCAATGTCAGGATTCTAGAAAACAAATGTTTCCATCAAGAAGCGTTTACAGAGTCAGAAGATATCATTGCTATCTACCTAGTTTCTTTATAAAGAAAATATACAGGCACTGTACTGAACCTCCATAGAGATTTATCAATTTATTATTTTTGATATATAAGGGCTGCTGTAAGGCTTTCTGCATATTACTGAGATTCATCATAAGATCTCCTAATATTTTGTTTTGATTTTTATACAAATTAAATGTTTTAATACAAGTACACATTTTAATAACACAATTTCATCAGAGCAGTAGAACTGAAGACCTGTTCATCCTGAAACCATTCCACAAAGATTCACTGTAAATCCTTAAAAATCATTGTATTCTTCTGGATACTGTCTGACTTTGATGTGGGGCAACAGTATTGCAGGTGCTGTTCTCCTGCTTGAAAAATGGAGAGCCAGTTTGGTGTAGTGGTTAAGATGCTGGCCTAGAAACCAGGAGACTATGAGTTCTAGGCCTCCCTTAGGGATGAAAGCTAGCTGAGTAACTCTGGGCCAGTCGGTCTCTCTCAGCCCAACCCAGTTCACAGGGTTGTTGTTGTGAGAAAAATAGGAGCCAGGAGGATTAGATATGTTTGCTGCCTTGAGTTGACCAAATATATATATTAAAAAGGTGGGATAATAATAATAATAGTGGGAGATTAATGTTCTGTTCTGAGGCAGTTATGGTACAGGGTACAGGGTTCCAGGGCTTCTATTTCATCTTCTATGTTTTACAGTATCAAATCAAGCCATTTGCACAACTTTTTCAGGAAACTTTTTCATCAATCTGACGCTCAGCTCTACCTCTTCTTTTTATCTAATATAGATGAAGCACCTGTTGCTCTAAACCACTACTTAGGCAGGAGGATAGTGGACTGGATGACTGCAAATACACACACACACACCTGTCTCTGACACTGTCATACTGCAATAGGAAATCAACTGCATGGACTGGCTGTAGATCCACTCACCATCCACCTATTCCTTGGCGCCAGGATGATGTCATCTTTGATTCCTTAAGATAAGGGACTCAAGCCCACTTTGCTCATCAAGTACACTCTCAGTAGGTGCACTGTCTTAACTTGCCTGCCAAGTATGTGGACTGTGTTATTGTGTTTGAAAAGGGGGAAAACACAAAACCGGTTCCCCAATGGTTCTGTGCCTGTACAATTAATTTTATTCTGATAGACCAGATTCCTGCAAAACACCACTCTCTAATGTCAAATATAGAGCTAGTTCAACCAAAGGAATTTGTTGTGAACGTATAAAAAAGGCTTTCCACACTTCCTTCTCCCCCACCAGTGTCCCAATCTTTCTTGTCAAGAAGGATGGCTTCCTTCACATTGCCCACTGTAACTCATTTCTGAACTCTGAAACTATTACAAATCAGTACCCTCCTTCCCTCACTTCTTAACTCCTGAAATGACCGTGGGAGCTATGTGTTTTTACCAAACTGAACCTCAGAGGGGCTTGCAACCTGATTAACATGAAAAAGAGTCATAAATGTTTAACTGCCTTAGATTCTCATTGGGAGAGTTTTGACCATATAGTAATGCCTTCTGGATTACTGGGTACCTCTTATTCACAGCTTCATGAATTATAGTTTTTATGATTTTCTGGATCTGTTTCTGATTGCTTATTTAGACAATTAGTTGATTTATTCTGAGGATCCTGTCACCCCCTCCACTGATCACTTTTGAGCAGTTCTTCAGTGCCTTTGTGACTTCAGCCTCTGTGCTAATTTAAATGAATCTTTGACCTGCCTGTGTTGGATTATCTGAGCTACTATATTTCTTTGAAAAGAACTCAGATGGATCTGGTTACAGTAGTATCCATTCTGTCCTAAGAAACCACCCCAACCAACTTTTTTTTTTGTCTTTACCAATTTTGACTGAGAGCTAGGTTGGTGCAATGGTTAAGGCATCAGGCTAGAAACCAGGAGACTGTGAGTTACAGGCCCATTTGAGGCACAAAGCCAGCTGGGTGACCCTGGGCCAGTCATTCTCTCTCAGCCCTGGGAAGGAAGCAATGGCAAACCACTTCTGAAATCTTGCCAAGAAAACTGCAGGGACAAGTCCAGGCAGTCGCCAGGAGTCAACACTGACTTGAAGGCACCAAAAAAACAACAACAACCACCCACAAATTCATTCCTAATTTTGCTGAATTGAACATATCACTGACTTGTCTTACAACGAAGGGGGTTCCTTTAAGTGAGATCCTGAATCCCAACCAGTTTTTCTTCAACTCTAACAGGCATTCACTTCTCATCCCATCCTAGGAAGTCCAAATCCTACCTGCCTCTTTTTGTATAGGGTGATGCTTTTGATATTGCCTTGGGAGCTGCACTTTTACAACCTGCTCAAGAATTTGAGGACAGCATCCTTCCTCCTGCATTTCTTTTCTGGCAGTTCTTTCCAGCTAAAAGCAACTTTGATGTTTTTAAGAAAGAGCCTTTGGACACAAAGAAAGCCTTTCAGCATTGGCACCATCTCTTCAAAAGCACTGAATAGCTTACAGAGGTTTGAAGGACTTCTCACAAACTGCCACAGTGCCAGGTCAAGTGGGCACATAAAATCGAACACATTAAAACAAATGAAAAACTATAACAGCATACAAAAACATAATGCAAATAAGTGGCTGCCTTCAGCCCCCAAATGCCTTCCAAAACAGTCCCAGTTTTAGCAACTTTTGGAAAGTCAAATTGGGGTGAGTGTTAATCCAGCCTTGAGGGGGAGGCTATTCCAGTGTCTAAAGGCTGCAACCAAAAACACTGTATGTGAGCCTCAGTCCACATTTACTCCATGAAATTGGGGAACTATTAGAAGAATTTGCCAGGGAGCACTAAAGAGGCACAAATTCTCCCACTCCTTAAGAGGCCAGGCCTGGATCCAACAAAACTGCGCATAGTTCTATCTCTGATCATCCCTTTGGGGAAAGGTTTATTGAGGAAGTGGCAGTGTTGCAATCGCAGAGGCCTCTGGAGGATATGGATTATCTGGACTCTTGCCAGTCTGGTTCAGACCCAGGCATGAGAAAGAAACTACATTGGTTGCTCTCATGGATGAAGGTTAGAGGGGCTTAGATGGAGGTGGCACAATCATCCTTACCCTCCTTGATTTTTCACTGCTTTTGATACTGTCAACAGTATCCTTCTGGTCTGCCTGCAAGGGTGGGGTTTTGAGGCAGTATCATGATGGTTCTGCTCCGTTCTAAGTGGACAGGCGCAGAGACTGGTTGCAGGAGAGGAGGTTAGATGCCCCCCCCCCTTTGTGATGAAGTGCTTCAGAGTTCAGTCCTTTTTCCTATCTTGTTCAACAAAAACATGAAACCACTGGGAGAAGTCATCTGCCACTTTGAAGTATCATCAACATGCTGATGATACACAGCTATCATCTCTATCCTGGATCCATTGGATGATGTGGTAGAAGTCATTGTCTATTATCTGGAGGCAGCCAGGATTTCAATGGAGGATGAAGAACAGGCACAGACTCAACTCAAACAAAACAAAGTGGCTATTGATTCAGAGGCCAACTGATTCTAGGACTGTATCATCTTTGGCTCTTAATAAGACTGCTCCCCTAGAAAGAGCGGGCTTGCAGTCTGGGGGTCCACCTGGACTCAGAGCTCCTGCTCAAACAGCAAGTGGAAACATGGCCAGGAGGGCTTTTGCACAGCTTGGGGTAGTATGCTAGCTGCAGCTTTATCAGGAACAGGAGGCATGCAAGATAGTCACTTATGTTCCTGTCACCTTTTGATGAGATTACTGTAATTCACTCTACATGGGGCTTTCCCTGAAGACAACTGGAAACTTCAGCTGGTCCAGAATGCTGTGGCATGCGTGTTCAAAGGTTAATCCCAGTACCGCTGTGCACATTACACATCTGCTGCATGAGTTGCACTGGGTATAAGAGATTTTCAAATGCAATTCAAAGTACTGGTTGCTGCCTATACAATTCTATATGGCTTGGGACCGGATATTTTGGGGACCTAATGGTTTCTGCCAATTCAACCCAGACAATTAGGAAGTGCCTGCTAAGGGTTCCCATGTACCAAGAGGTATGGCATGAGCATCTCTGCACCAAGCATTCTCTGTAGCAGCTGTAGCAACTCCCTCCTCTGGAACAGCTTGCCCACCAAGCATGGATGGTCCCACTCCTATGCCTTCCAGAATCAAGTGAAAATGTAGCTGTTCCAAAGGGCCTTTGAGGATTAATTGTATTAGCGACTTCATTTTTTACAATTGTATAATATCTTTAGTTACTATTTTAATCATTGTATTCTGATTTCTACCTGTGTAAGCTATTAGAGTCTAGCCAGTTCAGGCAGCTAGATTAATTTCATAAATAAACAAACGGGATGGATTGTTTCTATGTGGAGAAGGCAGTCTTGAAAGTACCTGCAGCCAGCCCACGTAAGGCTTTATAGGTTAAAACCAGCACTTTGAATTGCACCCAGAAACATTTGGGCAACCACTGCAGTGCCTTCAGTGCAAGTGTTCTATGATCACAGAGACCCTCATTCACCAGCTGGTAGGCTGCTGCAGTTTGAACTAATTGCAGTTTCCAAGTGATGCTCAAATGCAGCTATAAGTAACGGCCAGCTTACTGATTAAAGCATCAATCACCATTGTCAGGGCTCCCTGCTCCAGGAGGATAAATTTATAGACCCTAACCCCGCATTTGTCTTGTATTAACAATACAAACCAGATAAGGGGAAAGTTAAAAGCACTAGCTGTGAATAGAAAAAATACATTTAACTTTTCACTCATCCTCCAACAGTTCCTTGCAAGTGATCTTTCATAGTGTTTTCGACTCTGTTCTCTCACATTGGACTCTGACAACAAGACCAGATTTGGTGATACAATCACTGACTGTGGCATAGCTAAGCTAGTTCCTGCCCCTATAATTCCCATCTCTCAAAATAACATTTAGTTTATCCTGACCGATTTTGTTAAATGAACAAAAGATATTAAAGCATTTTTACCTGCAATGGAGGCACTGATTCAACAATGGACGTGCATATATCAGAATCTATAATATGAAAAATATGCAATAAAAGTATCCACCTTGTTTTCAACATATCATACATCAAACAGAGAGGTTATAGCAATTTGAACAAAATCACTGCACCCCTTAGGACTTCTGTTATGAGCATGACTGCTTCACAGAATCAGCCATTCCATTAAACACAACCTACCGAGAATGCTCTACTCTGGATCCTGTTGTATGTGGAGCCCTTCCCTGATGTCATGGAACATCCTCCCAAAGGAGAGTTATTAATTTCCCTGTTAACTTCTACCTAGTTCATATTCTCTCAGAAATTAAAATCAGCTGCTGTACGACTTGCTTCATATCTGCCTGTGTTGCTTGTTATTTTGTTTGTTTACAGGATGGTTACTTTATTACAAATTTGCAAACATATTTAGTACATGTTATAAAATACTTTGAAAGAATCATCAATAACTTTCACTATCACAATAATGAACTCACTACCACCGGGCAGAAACAACTGTTGACATTAACTGGATGTAAGATGCCTTCCCCAGGCTAGTGCCAGGATGGTTGGAAATTCTGAGAGCGTTCGACATCTGGAAGGCACCAGGTTGGTGAAAGCTAGTTTCAAAAGTGATTACAGGTAGTCCTCACTTAATGACCACAATAGGGACTGGAAAATTGGTCGCTAAGGGGGCGGTTGTTAAGCAATTCACCATGAGACCTGACCCAATTTTACGACCATTTTTACAATGGTTAAGTGAGTCACCAGAGTCATTAAGCGAATCACATGGTTGTTAAGTGAATCCTGCTTCTCCAATGGACTTTTTTGCCAGAATTTGCTTAACGACCATGTGATTCGCTTAATGACCATGGTGATTCGCTTAACGACTGTCGTAACAAAGGTTGCAAATCATGGTCACGTGACCATGGGGGGGTGCCATGGTTTGCAACAGTCATAAGCGTGAGTACAGGTTTTAAGCATTTTTTCTGAGGCTGCTGTAACTTTGAACTTGTCAGGCCTAGCCCAACGAACTCCAAGAGACAATGCAAAATCAGTTCAGCGGTTTATTAGCTACAA